TCTAGTTCAGTTCTAGTTCAGTTCTAGTTCAGTTCTAGTTCAGTTCTAGTTCAGTTCTAGTTCAGTTCTAGTTCAGTTCTAGTTCAGTTCTAGTTCAGTTCTAGTTCAGTTCTAGTTCAGTTCTAGTTCAGTTCTAGTTCAGTTCTAGTTCAGTTCTAGTTCAGTTCTAGTTCAGTTCTAGTTCAGTTCTAGTTCGTTCTAGTTCAGTTCTAGTTCAGTTCTAGTTCAGTTCTAGTTCAGTTCTAGTTCAGTTCTAGTTCAGTTCTAGTTCAGTTCTAGTTCAGTTCTAGTTCAGTTCTAGTTCAGTTCTAGTTCAGTTCAGTTCTAGTTCAGTTCTAGTTCAGTTCTAGTTCAGTTCTAGTTGCAGTTCTAGTTCAGTTCTAGTTCAGTTCTAGTTCAGTTCTAGTTCAGTTCTAGTTTAGTTCTAGTTCAGTTCTAGTTCAGTTCTAGTTCAGTTCAGTTCTAGTTCAGTTCTAGTTCAGTTCTAGTTCAGTTCTAGTTCAGTTCTAGTTCAGTTCTGTTAGTTCTAGTTCAGTTCTAGTCAGTTCTAGTCAGTTCTAGTTCAGTTCTAGTTCAGTTCTAGGTCAGTTCTAGTCAGTTCTAGTTCAGTTCTAGTTCAGTTCTAGTTCAGTTCTAGTTCAGTTCTAGTTCAGTTCTAGTTCAGTTCTAGTTCAGTTCTAGTTCAGTTCTAGTTCAGTTTCTAGTTCAGTTCTAGTTCAGTTCTAGTTCAGTTCTAGTTCAGTTCTAGTTTCAGTTCTAGTTCAGTTCTAGTTCAGTTCTAGTTCTAGTTCTAGTTCAGTTCAGTTCTAGTTTCTAGTTCAGTTCTAGTTCAGTTTCTAGTTCGTTTAGTTCAGTTCTAGTTCAGTTCTAGTTCAGTTCTAGTTCAGTTCTAGTTCAGTTCTAGTTCAGTTCTAGTTCAGTTCTAGTTCAGTTCTAGTTCAGTTCTAGTTCAGTTCTAGTTCAGTTCTAGTTCAGTTCTAGTTCAGTTCTAGTTCAGTTCTAGTTCAGTTCTAGTTCAGTTCTAGTCAGTTCTAGTTCAGTTCTAGTTCAGTTCTAGTTCAGTTCTAGTTCAGTTTCAGTTCTAGTTCAGTTCTAGTTCAGTTCAGTTCTAGTTCAGTTCTAGGTTCCAGTTCTAGTTCAGTTCTAGTTCCAGTTCTAGTTTTTAGTTCAGTCTCCTATTAATTTATTTTATAGAAAAATGCAATAAATATTCTTTTATTTACGCAAATTTTAAAAAAATCAAAAATGTTCATTTAAGGAAAATTTTCCATAACTTACTTTTTTTGATAGAAACTCTTGCGATATTTTTTATACAAATTTGCATGAAATGCTCTACAATAAATTACCACCAACCGCCTACTCATCCTTCGAAACACAATCTAAATCGAAATTTCCAAAAAAAAAAAAAAACAAATAAAATAACAAAAATTATATATTTAGTAATGAAAAGACAAAAATGAACAAAAAACGAATCTTAAAGCATTCAAAATATTTACACCAATTTACACGTTTTTCAATATTCAGTAATCATACATGAGTTAAACACAAATTTACATAAATTTATTAAAACACCAAAAAGAAAAAAAATCATATTTACAATAAAATATCTGACATTTATGCCTTAATTTTTGTTGTTGTCTAAAACAAGTGTATGATATTATTCGTGCTCACATATGCGAGGTGGGATTAACAACTAAGAGAAATAATAAGTAATATATATATATTTTGGGTGAAACATTTTGTAATGAGAGGCATGTTTTGAAAGTGATCAAAATATTATTTCGCTCAAAAAGTGATTTAACCCCAGTTTACTTTACTACAATTAATCAATGATTCAATGATCCATTAGATTACCTGTTTTGCACCAAGTAACCGATTGACCTCTTTTCATAATAACGAATAATGGCAAAACTTATTAAATCGGAGCATTTGTATTATGGCAAAACGCCAAATTATGGACTCATACTCTACGGAATTTTTTATGAATGAATTTTTCCTAAATTATAATTTATTTTCACTTAAGATCTTGTTTTAAATGTTGCATAAATATTTACATAAATTTTTCTTTAAATTTAAGAAAAGTTAATTTCTATTATTTTTATTATTTTCCAAAAACAATTTGTATATTTTTTTTAAAAATTTGGGAATTTAGTTCAGTTTATATTTACTTATACATGAAGTGTTTTTTAAGGCAATTTTGTGTTTGTTTTTGTAGTTGATTTTTTTTTTAAGATTTTCGCCCAGCATGAAATGGTGTTTTTTGTTTACAAAATCGTATAGTTTTAATATGTATTTACTAAGAAGAAACTACTGGTACAGATGTAGGTACACACAGCATAATTGTATGTACATATATATGTATGTACATATGTAATATGTATATAGTACCACATTCACAAAGTGTGGCAAATATTTATTTCCGTAACCACTTCATAATGATCTTGTAATATAAACAATGGTGCATGACGAAATTTATTTGTAAAAATGTGGTTAAGTAAATTTAGGCGCAAAGAGATAATTTATTAGAAATTTAAATTCCTAAACATAGATATTATATTTTCCCACTGAGACAAATCATTATTCCTTGTAAAATTTCATAAAAACTATTGAGCAATATATTAGATCACAATTAAGAACAAACGAAAATAATGATTACGACATAGAGCTTTCTGACGCAACTTTATTCAGGTTAGTGATAAACTGCCATGATGACCAATGATCGAACATAATGAGATATTCACAATGGATTTTCATAAGTGTATAAAATAGCTTTCAGGATTAGAAGCCCTCCCTTAGGAATAATTCTCAATTTTGGGTCGGTTCAGTTCTAATTCAGTTCTAGTTCAGTGCTAGTTCAGCTCTAGTTCAGTTCTAGTTCAGTTCTAGTTCAGTTCTAGTTCAGTTCTAGTTCAGTTCTAGTTCAGTTCTAGTTCAGTTCTAGTTCAGTTCTAATTCATTTCTAGTTCAGTTCTACTTCAGTTCTAGGTCAGTTCTAGGTCAGTAGTCTAGTTCAGTTCTAGTTCAGTTCTAGTTAGTTCTAGTTCAGTTCTAGTTCAGTTCTAGTTCAGTTCTAGTTCAGTTCTAGTTCAGTTCTAGTTCAGTTCTAGTTCAGTTCTAGTTCAGTTCTAGTTCAGTTCTAGTTCAGTTCTAGTTCAGTTCTAGTTCAGTTCTAGTTCAGTTCTAGTTCAGTTCTAGTTCAGTTTCTAGTTCAGTTCTAGTTCAGTTCTAGTTCAGTTCTAGTTCAGTTCTAGTTCAATTCTAGTTCAGTTCTAGTTCAGTTCTAAGTTCAGTTCTAGTTCAGTTCTAGTTCAGTTCTAGTTCAGTTCTAGTTCAGTTCTAGTTCAGTTCTAGTTCAGTTCTAGTTCAGTTCTAGTTCAGTTCTAGTTCAGTTCTAGTTCAGTTCTAGTTCAGTTCTAGTTCAGTTCTAGTTCAGTTCTAGTTCAGTTCTAGTTCAGTTCTAGTTCAGTTCTAGTTCAGTTCTAGTTCTGTTCTAGTTCTGTTCTAGTTCTGTTCTAGTTCTGTTCTAGTTCTGTTCTAGTTCTGTTCTAGTTCAGTTCTAGTTCTGTTCTAGTTCTGTTCTAGTTCTGTTCTAGTTCTGTTCTAGTTCTGTTCTAGTTCTGTTCTAGTTCTTTCGTTCTGTTCTAGTTCTGTTCTAGTTCTGTTCTAGTTCTGTTCTAGTTCTGTTCTAGTTCTGTTCTAGTTCTGTTCTAGTTCTGTTCTAGTTCTGTTCTAGTTCTGTTCTAGTTCTGTTCTAGTTCTGTTCTAGTTCTGTTCTGTTCTAGTTCTGTTCTAGTTTGTTCTGTTCTGTTCTTCTGTTCTAGTTCTGTTCTAGTTCTGTTCTAGTTCTGTTCTAGTTCTGTTCTAGTTCTGTTCTAGTTCTGTTCTAGTTCAGCTCTAGTTTAGTTCTAGTTCAGTTCTAGTTCAGTTCTAGTTCTGTTCTAGTTCTGTTCTAGTTCTGTTCTAGTTCTGTTCTAGTTCTGTTCTAGTTCTGTTCTAGTTCTTTTCTAGTTCTGTTCTAGTTCTGTTACAGTTCTGTTCTAGTTCTGTTCTAGTTCTGTTCTAGTTCTGTTCTAGTTCTGTTCTAGTTCTGTTCTAGTTCTGTTCTAGTTCTGTTCTAGTTCTGTTCTAGTTCTGTTCTAGTTCTGTTCTAGTTCTGTTCTAGTTCTGTTCTAGTTCTGTTCTAGTTCTGTTCTAGTTCTGTTCTAGTTCTGTTCTAGTTCTGTTCTAGTTCTGTTCTAGTTCTGTTCTAGTTCTGTTCTAGTTCTGTTCTAGTTCTGTTCTAGTTCTGTTCTAGTTCTGTTCTAGTTCTGTTCTAGTTCTGTTCTAGTTCTATTCTAGTTCTGTTCTAGTTCTGTTCTAGTTCTGTTCTAGTTCTGTTCTAGTTCTGTTCTAGTTCTGTTCTAGTTCTGTTCTAGTTCTGTTCTAGTTCTGTTCTAGTTCTGTTCTAGTTCTGTTCTAGTTCTGTTCTAGTTCTGTTCTAGTTCTGTTCTAGTTCTGTTCTAGTTCTGTTCTAGTTCTGTTCTAGTTCTGTTCTAGTCTGTTCTAGTCTGTTCTAGTTCTTTTCTAGTTCTTTTCTAGTTCTTTTCTAGTTCTTTTCTAGTTCTGTTCTAGTTCTGTTCTAGTTCTGTTCTAGTTCTGTTCTAGTTCTGTTCTAGTTCTGTTCTAGTTCTGTTCTAGTTCTGTTCTAGTTCTGTTCTAGTTCTGTTCTAGTTCTGTTCTAGTTCTGTTCTAGTTCTGTTCTAGTTCTGTTCTAGTTCTGTTCTAGTTCTGTTCTAGTTCTGTTCTAGTTCTGTTCTAGTTCAATCGGAAATCAGTGCTGATACAATGGTTTCAGATCTTCCGATTGAAATCGAAAAACCCTCATTGTGTAATTAAAATCCGAATAACTATGTTATGTTTTGAACTCTAACCCTAAGACTGTTAAATTTGGCTAGGTTGCACAACGTAGTCGTCGAACTTAATTAATAACATTTAAAAATTTTAAATAATTTTTTAAACATTTATTCAACATACGGATATACTTGTACATCATCATTTTGTATAATTGGGGGTTTCATAAAAATATGGTGTAAATTATTTTTATATTTTCGATTGGATTTCTTTGATTTCTTAAACCAAGATTTTTTCTTGATATTAAACGATGTGGCATCATTTCCATAAGGGTTTTTCATTATCCACTAAAAAACAAACAAATTCAGCAAAGGTGTTCTCGGTGTTAGTAAAAAATCCATAAACATTAATATGTAATTATTCCTTACTTACCTTTACCTCTTCCTGTTTACGCTTCTTTTCTATTTCAACAGTTCTGGCTGCGCAATAAGGCCGCACTGTTATATAATAAACAATCTCTATTATGGAAAAAATACTAAAACCCATAAATAAACCCAAAAGGCCACCAGTATTTGCTGGAAATTTAATTAACAATAATAAAAAAAATAATTTTTTAATTTGAAAAAACTCACACAAAAATTCCGTAAAACCAAACATTTCCGATTTCGTAGTGCTTCTAAATATATTCGAAGTATAATAGAAATGCATTATTGATAAATCACTTATCTTATCACTAGCATTAAAAATTTCTGGAGGAAAATCATCAGAGGTTCTAAAATTTCCAAAGATCATTGATGATGCTGTCAATGTAGTCTGATAGTTTAATTCAAAACATCCCGGCAGACAACTGTCACACGAAACACTTTTATTCGATGACTCAATTTCCGATTGTACTTGATTGGTACAGAAATTATCATTCGGACCACAAATAGGAACATCCGGATTAAAACGTGGCAAATAGTAGAGAACACAAGAACATTTTTGCATTAGTATGCGAGCTTCACATTCAAGTTCACAATTTTTGCGTGAATAAGTTCGATAGTATACCAAATCGCCTTCATCCGAGAATAAACATCTGCGTACAGCTTTTCTTATGGATCTTATGCTGGGCACTGCATCTTGATAGATAGGTTCTATGGGTATACGGGCCTCACGGCCAGCGGTCATCAGAAACCCGTAATTGCTTATTTTAGGTAACTCGGCTGGATTGTGTACCAGTACCTGGGGATTAAGGGGTTATTTTTGTTTAAATTATTTAATTATATTTATATAAATGCTTTAACCTTAAATCCCACACATTTGCTTTTGCTGCAATAATACTCTTCTGAGGACACATTTAATATGACCGTCAATCCCATACGTGTTCCAGTTCCTCCCGAAACTCGTGGATAATAATGTGGTGGTAATTGTTCAGGATATCCACTTTCTGGTGTCCAATCTATGGGCTGATAATGATTGTCTATGGCTGGCATTAAAAGATTATCTTCGCTGAAATTGAATGAATGAATAAATCAATCAGTAACAAGTAGGAGTGTAATACCCCAAAACAGGTATAAGAAGGCGGTCATAGTCGGAAAGTAGGGTAAGTTAGTTTAGTTAGTTAGTTAGTTAGTTAGTTAGTTAGTTAGTTAGTTAGTTAGTTAGATAGTTAGTTAGTTAGTTAGTTAGTTAGTTAGTTAGTTAGGTAGGTAGGTAGTTAGTTAGTTAGTTAGTTAGTTAGTTAGTTAGTTAGTTAGTTAGTTAGTTAGTTAGTTAGTTAGTTAGTTAGTTAGTTAGTTAGTTAGTTAGTTAGTTAGTTAGTTAGTTAGTTAGTTAGTTAGTAGTTAGTAGTTAGTTAGTTAGTAGTTAGTTAGTTAGTTAGTTAGTTAGTAGTTAGTTAGTTAGTTAGTTAGTTAGTTAGTTAGTAGTTAGTTAGTTAGTTAGTTAGTTAGTTAGTTAGTTAGTTAGTTAGTTAGTTAGTTAGTTAGTTAGTTAGTTAGTTAGTTAGTTAGTTAGTTAGTTAGTTAGTTAGTTAGTTAGTTAGTTAGTTAGTTAGTTAGTTAGTTAGTTAGTTAGTTAGTTAGTTAGTTAGTTAGTTAGTTAGTTAGTTAGTTAGTTAGTTAGTTAGTTAGTTAGTTAGTTAGTTAGTTAGTTAGTTAGTTAGTTAGTTAGTTAGTTAGTTAGTTAGTTAGTTAGTTAGTTAGTTAGTTAGTTAGTTAGTTAGTAGTTAGTTAGTTAGTTAGTTAGTTAGTTAGTTAGTTAGTTAGTTAGTTAGTTAGTTAGTTAGTTAGTTAGTTAGTTAGTTAGTTAGTTAGGTTAGTTAGTTAGTTAGTTAGTTAGTTAGTTAGTTAGTTAGTTAGTTAGTTAGTTAGTTAGTTAGTTAGTTAGTTAGTTAGTAGTTAGTTAGTTAGTTAGTTAGTTAGTTAGTTAGTTAGTTAGTTAGTTAGTAGTTAGTTAGTTAGTTAGTAGTTAGTTAGTTAGTAGTTAGTTAGTTAGTTAGTTAGTTAGTTAGTAGTTAGTTAGTTAGTTAGTTAGTAGTTAGTTAGTTAGTAGTTAGTTAGTAGTTAGTTAGTTAGTTAGTAGTTAGTTAGTTAGTTGCGGTATGGTACCTACCTGTAATTCCTTAAAAGATATTTCGGATCCAAAGCATTAAAAGTACAGCACAAGCCATCATCCGTTAAAACTGTATTAAAAATCATGGAACAATTTTCTATCAGAGAACCAAAACTACAATACAATAACATATCATCACAAGGTTGGGCCACCTTAAATTCGGATCCAAACAATCACAAACATTAAGGTAATCATAATTTATTAAACAAACCTCTGTTAAAATGGCCTTAAAGTACTTCCAAGTACCAACATAAGTCATGGCCAAATCGCCAGAGCCCTGATCGCACAAACTCATCAATAAAGAATAGTTAGAACTGGACCTTAAAAAGAAGGCAATGAAATTATAGTATGATATGAAATTCTATTTCCACTTATAATACCTAGTAATAAACTGCACTTTACTTTTCTGAGCCTGATTTAGATTACAAATCGTTATGGCCGGAAAGGGTACTTCAGTGCTCGAGGTCTGTTTAGCGCTTGTGGAAATTATTATAGGTGAAGCAGTCCATTTGCCATAGACATTTGAAATAAAAATCGCCGATAATATAACCACACCAACAAAAGCCAAACCAAAGAAAACTCTGTAAAGATTGCTTCGTAAACAAATATACAAAATAGAAATGCAATAACATCTTACCTTTCCGGTATGGTGATTTCATCCTCAGCTATATATTTTAGACCATGTAGAGTAGTATTTTGTAGATAATACTTAATATTCTTTTTAACTGAATCCTTAGAGCAAACCTTATCATCATCACTCGAGTAATCGGGAGGTTTTTCATTAGCTAAAGTCCAAAAATGAGAATATTGAAAAACATATTAAACTTTGCTGCAGAAATGGTTAATTGCTTTATTTTTTATTTCAATATTTAATGAATCTATAAATCATATACAATTCATTTAACTATTTATTCCCGAAAATATTCACAAATTCCAAATGTATTACAAATGTTTATAGGGGAATTTCTTAGCTTTTATAAAGTGGCATATAAACTTTTTTTGAATTTTAATTAAAACTCACTTATAGTATTCGTTTCTTTTATATAATTCTTTTCACCATATCCATTTTTATTTAATTTATTTAAATTATTTTCCTTAAACTTCCAGTCCATTTTATTGTATTTCCACTTATAACCTAAACACCTTACACTTGCACTTTTTAATTACTTCTTGCAGGATTTCACATAACCCATAAAGCTTTTATAGCCTGACTGTGTAATTTTGCGATTTCGATCTTTATTTGTAAATATTTTGTAGGCAAATACTAAACAATTGCAATTTTAATCGAAACCCATTAATATAATCATATTGATTTAAGTCTTTAAAATACTTGACTAATAAATACAAATGACATTTGACATGCTACAAAATCAGTGCAGCAGACACTTTTTGTGGTTAGTAGTAGATGTGTACTGAAATCTAAAAGAAGTCTTGATATAATATGGTAAATATGTTAAACAAGTAAGAAATATTAGGCGGGCGGAGCCGTCCATTTGATACCCTACACCAGTTATGAGAATAACATATGATTTATGATAATTAAAAATTTATGTTGAATTGCACGTTGCCTCTGGTATACATATGTTAACAATTGTTATCAAACAAATTTTCCTATAGATAACTATGGACTAGACTATAGACTAGACTATAGAGTAGACTATAGACTAGACTATAGACTAGACTATAGACTAGACTATAGACTAGACTATAGACTAGACTATAGACTAGACTAAAGACTAGACTATAGACTAGACTATAGACTAGACTATAGACTAGACTATAGACTAGACTATAGACTAGACTATAGACTAGACTATAGACTAGACTATAGACTATACTATAGACTAGACTATAGACTAGACTATAGACTAGACTATAGACTAGACTATAGACTAGACTATAGACTAGACTATAGACTAGACTATAGACTAGACTATAGACTAGACTATAGACTAGACTATAGACTAGACTAGACTATAGACTAGACTATAGACTAGACTATAGACTAGACTATAGACTAGACAGACTATAGACTAGACTATAGACTAGACTATAGACTAGACTATAGACTAGACTATAGACTAGACTATAGACTAGACTATAGACTAGACTATAGACTAGACTATAGACTAGACTATAGACTAGACTATAGACTAGACTATAGACTAGACTATAGACTAGGACTATAGACTAGACTATAGACTAGACTATAGACTAGACTATAGACTAGACAATAGACTAGACTATAGACTAGACTATAGACTAGACTATAGACTAGACTATAGACTAGACTATAGACTAGACTATAGACTAGACTATAGACTAGACTATAGACTAGACTATAGACTAGACTATAGACTAGACTATAGACTAGCCTATAGACTAGACTATAGACTAGACTATAGACTAGACTATAGACTAGACTATAGACTAGACTATAGACTAGACTATAGACTAGACAATAGACTAGACTATAGACTAGACAATAGACTAGACTATAGACTAGACTATAGACTAGACTATAGACTAGACAATAGACTAGACTATAGACTAGACAATAGACTAGACTATAGACTAGGACAATAGACTAGACTATAGACTAGACTATAGACTAGACTATAGACTAGACTATAGACTAGGACTATATAGACTAGACTATAGACTAGACTATAGACTAGACTATAGACTAGACTATAGACTAGACTATAGACTAGACTATAGACTAGACTATAGACTAGACTATAGACTAGACTATAGACTAGACTATAGACTAGACTATAGACTAGACTATAGACTAGACTATAGACTAGACTATAGACTAGACTATAGACTAGACTATAGACTAGACTATAGACTAGACTATAGACTAGACTATAGACTAGACTATAGACTAGACTATAGACTAGACTATAGACTAGACTATAGACTAGACTATAGACTAGACTATAGACTAGACTATAGACTAGACTATAGACTAGACTAGACTAGACTATAGACTAGACTATAGACTAGACTATAGACTAGACTATAGACTAGACTATAGACTAGACTATAGACGACTATAGACTAGACTATAGACTAGACTATAGACTAGACTATAGACTAGACTATAGACTAGACTATAGACTAGACTATAGACTAGACTATAGACTAGACTATAGACTAGACTATAGACTAGACTATAGACTAGACTATAGACTAGACTATAGACTAGACTATAGACTAGACTATAGACTAGACTATAGACTAGACTATAGACTAGACTATAGACTAGACTATAGACTAGACTATAGACTAGACTATAGACTAGACTATAGACTAGACTATAGACTAGACTATAGACTAGACTATAGACTAGACTATAGACTAGACTATAGACTAGACTATAGACTAGACTATAGACTAGACTATAGACTAGACTATAGACTAGACTATAGACTAGACTATAGACTAGACTATAGACTAGACTATAGACTAGACTATAGACTAGACTATAGACTAGACTATAGACTAGACTATAGACTAGACTATAGACTAGACTAGATAGACTAGACTATAGACTAGACTATAGACTAGACTATAGACTAGACTATAGACTAGACTATAGACTAGACTATAGACTAGACTATAGACTAGACTATACTAGACTATAGACTAGACTATAGACTAGACTATAACTAGACTATAGACTAGACTATAGGCCTAGACTATAGACTAGACTATAGACTAGACTATAGGGAATAGACTATAGACTAGATATAGACTAGACTATAGACTAAGACTATAGACTAGACTATAGACTAGACTATAGACTAGACTATAGGAGAAATGACTAGACTATAGATAGACTATAGACTAGACATAGGACTTAGACTATCGAACTAGACTTATGATAGGGACATAGACTAGACTATAGACTAGACTATAGACTAGATAGACTAGACTAAGACTAGACTATAGACTAGACTATAGGACTAGACAATAGACTAGTACTATAGGACTAGACTATGAAGACTATAGACTAGACAATAGACTAGACAATAGGAATAGACTATAGACTTAGACTTATAGACTAGAATTAGGACTAGACTATAGACTAGACTATTATTTATTTTTAATGTTGGTAGCCGTATTGCTCCAATGAAAGGTTTAGTTGGGTGACCTCAATCATGGTCATTTATTAAACGATCTTCTTGAGAATGGATGATCATATCCTCTCACTTTGAAGTTGGACTCCTCCGGGTAGCCTGAAGTGTATGAAGTATGATATGGTGTGAGTACTACATATTGTTGTTGAGTTGGTGTCCTTATCAGGACTAGTGGTAGCAGTCTTTTTAATCGGCACCTTCTCAATTTTGGAAAAGGCAGCACCAGTGTGTTCTGGCGAGTTAGTGATTACCTCCTCAGGGAGAAGAGATACTTTCCACAATGTTCTCATGTACCAGTACATTGATAAGATGACAACTTCTTTCAACTGAACTCGCAGCTCACGCCCTCTATTGGTTGTTGGCTCCTTTGTGGACTACAACCTAGGGATTTTGCCTGTCGGATTTTAGGTATCGTATACTGCAGGGCATAGATCGTCATCATATGATCTTTCTCTGTCCCGCTTATTTTGATTCGTTTTTTTTTCTGGGCTTCTTTTGGGAAACCCTTACTTTCAAGAAGGATTTCGCCGATGTTCCTCGTCTTCGGAATATTTTGCTTGTCTTTGTCCCCTTTACCCGCAGTATTCTTATTTGAGATTCCTTTGAGTGAGGTACCGACTGACTTCGACTGTATACATGTTCTCTTTCTATACCCTAGACCCCTATAGTGGAGTTTGAAAAGCACAAATATATTTGTCCTATACCCACCTTATAGTATACCAATCGGCTTAGAATCTGAGTAATAAAGTATCAAATATGGCTAAAAAGTGCTCAGGGTTAAAAATGTGGTGGACTTTGTTACTCTTTCTTCATTTAAGTCATTTATACTGATATTTTAAAATAATTTAAATAAATTTATTAAGAATATTACGTAAAAGTTTTACATTTATAGAAAATATTAACAGAAATTCAATTTAACCCTTATGATCGTAACGCCAATCTGGTTTAGAAACACTGGAATAATCTTTATACAGATTTATATTAGGTATTATAATCGGTATATTTTTATGGCCCACATAACGATTATCAGGAGTAAAGTTTGAAGAAATAGTTGAAACTTTAGGCGTAATTCGAAAGGCAGAGGAATTATTAAGAGATTTTCTTTTTCCTCTAAAATTGCGACTAATCGTTGATGATGATGTCGTAGAAATGGCACTAATATTATTTAAACGTTTAGACTTATGCTTCTGCTTTGGTATGGGCTTTCGGCAAGGACGTATAAAGGTATAAAAAATAATTTCGGCCACAGAAATGAAACTGAAACCAAAAAATAGACCAATTAAGCCGCCAACACTAGCTGCGATAATAGAAATATAACAGATTAAATTAGATTTCAAAATTAGTTTTCAATTTAAAACTTACACAAAAAATCTGTCATTCCTATAAATTCTGTCTGCTTATTACTGCGATACGAATTATCCTTATAGTACATGGTCAATATGGCGATATTACGTTCTATATAATCACTACTTAGATTTTGTACTATTTTATTGGCTATCTGAAAACCCGTATTCGCTAAGGGGGTGGTAAAGAACTCTGCATAATATTTCAAATCAAAACAACTGGGCAAACATACTTCATCACATTCACGCTCACTATCATCATCGTTAGACATCGAGTGTAGACGTATACGCTCTACACAGGCTACATCATAAATACTGCACACGGTTTCATTACCGAACCGCTTGGGCATAAAGTGTGAAACACAACCACAGTGACGCATTAGTGAATTGGCCACACATTCCACCTCACAATTATGCTGACTATAGGTGGCAAAATATTTCAAATCGTGTTCATCTTGAAATAGACACTGACGATGTTTCAGATGGACCCGATGTAACATGGGATCTGATTCGAGTTTGTCTATACGTACTCGTGCCTTTGTCTCATATCCTGCTGCTAGTAGTAAACCTACTTCTCTTACATTGGGTGTTTCGGTGGGACTGTGCATGGCCATTTTGAAA